ATATCGAGGAATTGAATGCTTGGAAGAGGAGGCTGAAAAGTTTACCATTACTATCCCAACACTCCAATGGATGGGCTGAAAACCCTTCTCAGATTTTATTCAGTCTATGAAAAAGCTAGGAGAAGTGAGAAGGACAAAAAGAGCAAATTGACACACTTGTGTCATACAAGCAGACTGCTTCCCTTCAAATGACAGTAGGAGCACAGGTCAGAATGATTTCACCTTTGCAGAGGTGTACCAGCACCTTTTCATGGAAAGAAGAGAGGCAGCAAGTCCCAGGGAAAGGCAGGAACATGGGACTTACCGACAGAATGATAAATATGACACTCTGTTCTGATAGAGCATCTGTGATATAGAGACTAGGTCCTGAAGCTAAATAGTTTGGACAAGGTCACCTAGCCAGAGAGTAGGACACACAGCACTTGATCTGAGGCCCAATTTAATCCACTTGACTCTGTTTCTTTACTAATGAGGACAGAGATCATTCTACTCTGTCACATTTACAATGATATGGATTAATTTCCCCAAGAGTTTCTACAAGGTCTTTTATTTATTTTTTTCTTTTTGCATTTCAGTTGCATTGTATGTGATCAATTTCAAGTACAAGTGAATTGCAAGTGGAAATTTTCTGAGAGCAACTGAGTTGTACTTGACATTTTGGGGTCCCAGTAGCTGAGTAGCTCTCAGAAAGGTCATATACAACTTTGTTGCACTGCTAAATGCCAAGGGTAATGCAGCAGTAACTGAAAATTGAAAGGAAATTATATTCTACCCAAAATGAACCACATGGACTCTGAAGAAGGATCTTTGCCCTATTAATTGTGTGAGGGAGACATGGAAAATTGTCCATTGATGTAGAAAAATTTTCCCCCATAGGCATTCATCTCTTTGCATGAAATATAGACAGAGTTTTACTACCAATCTATCTAAACTATGCCAAGTGCTCATTTTCCTTCCTTGATTTGCCTTAAATCAAGAATAATGTCACTAAAGAAGATTGTAAATCCATGTATATAATACTTCTATAGTCTTTCCTTTTAATGAATCAGATCTTTTCCAATATAACAGGTAGAAAAAGGTGGAGAGCATTGGTATCTGGAAACAGGCAGACGTCAAAAACCTTTTAAGAAAAAAGAGTAATTCTTGTTGTGGTTGCTAATGCAAGGTTACGCTCAATATGACAAAAACGAGACAAAAATCAGAAACATATCTTTGGATAAAATGAACCAACATGGGTTCAATTGTGCATTAATAAATTACACTTTTGGAGGGTAGGGCCTGGTAATGGTGGTGGAAATAGAGCTTCTCTCATACATTCAGCTTCATGTTAGCAGTTAGAAAGCTTGGCCATATATGAATATCCTAGAGCTTTGTTTCATTCTGCATGGGCTCTGTCCTTCACATTGACAGTGCTTCAAATATTGGGTGTTTTAAAACAGAAAAACTTAGGAATTAGTGAACATATGCATTCTTCAAATCATCTTCCAGTGTGATAATGGCATCTTTTAGCCATCTTGATAGGGATCTTGTCATTTCTGTCACTGATGCATTCAGTTAAAATTTATCAAATATTCATATTCTGTACTATGAATTCAGTACTGAACTTGGCACTAGAGATATAATGGTGCACAAAACCAGATAAGGTTGTCCTCTTCCTTTATGAGTTTTATTGGTTAGAAGGAAGAAATAAATATTAATAAATACATAGCAATAAATATATAAGTGAAGGAAATTTGTGGTGCCACGTGTACAGGCACGGAAGGCAGATTGATCTGGGTCCAAATCCTACCTGTTTCTAGTTTTATTATTGGGGCAGGACACTGAAACTCACTGTGTATTAGTTCCTGTACCTCTAAAATGAGACTATTATGCCAACCAAGAAGAATTATTCCATGAATTAGAAATTATCACCCAAATTGCCTAATAGTAATCCTAAGGAGCAGACTAAGCCAATTTGTCTCATCAGAGACCAGGTTTCCTTCCCCTACTCACTCCAGTTCCATTATCTATGTTTCTTCACTTCGGACTCCACCAGAATTCAAGAAACATGGAGATACTTTTTCTCTACTAAAGTTAGTTTATCAAAGTCATCCTTTGTCCAGAAATTGAGTAAAGACAAATAAGACTTGTCTGAATTATAATGTATTGAGCCATAGCAAGCAAATGCTGGATTTTTTGCTAAATTTATCTTACTAAAGATTATAAATCTATGAAGTAGATATTATTCTTTTTACCCCAATTTATCTTTGAGGAACTTAAATCTTGGATATCAGGTTATTTGCTTAGGTAGTATCAACTGTATTGGAAAACAGGTTTTTCTGTAAAGAAAACACGGTTTTCCTCTACATTTTGGGTTTTCCTCTGCCCATCTTTTTGCCAGTACTTTCTTGAGGTTCTGAAAGGTAAACTAGGATTCTGCATCCTATATTGTTCTCCCATCCCCTGTTCCACATCCTTCTCTTTTGGCTATGTAATAGCATGGGTGTGCCAAAATTCGGCTAGTGCTTCTATCCTCTGGCAAGAATTGGGGCAAATTAATGTTCTCCTAATTGACTGGATGGTTTTTCTGGGAAATAGTGGCAATTCTATTTAATAGATATGAGCTATGGGAAGAAAAGAAAAAGGAATGAAGTGGTAAAAGATGTTTATGGTGTGGAATCCAAAGAACATCAAGAAAAAAAAAATGAATTGATGAGGCAATCTCCCATGCAAGTGCCCACACATAGGGCAACTTGTATCATCACCACGTAAGGAATTTACATAATTAATATGCAGAAAGACTTTGTCATTAGTACTCAATAAATCTTTAGGTAATCAATCAATAAATGGGCATGGAGGAAAACCATTCTAATTGACTTATTTAATGTGGGGATTGGTTGAAAGTCTAAAGCAGTCACAGACTCAAATTTCTTCTCCAATCTGTGAACAGAGCCAGTGAACCATAATGGGAGGTTATTCACTACAGATATTGAAAAGCAGTTGTGATGGGGTGGGAGTTTGAGGATTCAAAAATATGCTGACTCTCAAAAAGAAGTACCCACAAACCTTTGGAATGCAGGAAAACTCTCAAGGCTGTTCAAATGTGAGACAAGCCACACAAGAGCAACGTAGCTTGTACCCTTGCCAACAGAAGTAACTGTATACTATAGTAACAACCTATAGTGTATCCCCTTCTGCTGCCCTTCTACAGATACCAATGAACACCAAAGCAAGGGATTGTTACCTCTCATTCTTGAGCTGGACTGCATTCTCCCTTGAATGTATATTCCATGCCTTACCTCCCCAAATTCTCACTCTCTAGATAGCCCACATTCTCCCTCAAATGTCTCTGCTCTCCTATATAAAGCTCCGTCTTTGTCTCTGGTATGTGCCGAAATTCTTTTCTCTCACATATGTCAAGTATGCCACTTGTCCTGAGTCAAGGTACTGCCTCCAGGAGCTCCATAGATATCTTCTGGTGACAGTGGCATATGGGATCTAAGGCACTATGAATGACAAGAGTTACACACTGGACTGGAAATAGAACAAATTAAGTTGTTCATTCTGGTTGAAATTTTCCGGTCTTCCTTGAGCATTCCAATCTCAGTGTGCTGGCAACAAGATGTACAATTTCAGACTCAAGTTAGTTGGATTTTATTCTAGAAAAACTGAAAAAAAAAACATAGGGGAACAGAGCTATGTAAGTTTATATTTGGAAGTTACTCAATGAAAAAAGCTGGTTACCTCCCTATCAACTCATAATGCAGTTAACAATTAGACATCTTCATTCAGGATTTTAGAACTTCCTTCTTAAACATGCAAGCATAGCCAAGAATAGCCATATTTGGTGGAAGTGTCAAGCATGACAGACAGAATAAATGAACAACAAATAAATACAATGGAGATGACATGAGAGTAGAAGAAAAATAAAAATCTGAACAAAAAATTTAAAAATCTCAAACGAATAAAACAAAAGCAGTAACAAAGACAGTAAATTATACTTCTCTCCCTCTCCTACCTCCAAAAAAAAAAAAAAAAGAAGAAGAAAATGGTATTAAAAAGAACAGAGAACAAGAAAGTGATCTTGGAAAACAAGAATATGATTGCCAGAAGAAGGACAGGAAGGTAAAGACCTAAAAGGACAACAATAAAAAAATGGGAGTCATTGTCTTGGGCAACATCCCAAGGACCGGACTACACAGGATAATGCAATTCTTCAAACATTTTGAAAATATGACTCAGTTATTGTACCAACTCAGGTCTACTTTCTTTGCTTCACGTATATTTGTTGGGGTTTAGAAACTTTGTGAAAGAGATAGTGACATCCTGAGATTGCTATGATAGACAGTCTGAGAATTTCTAGCTAAATCTTTTTTCTTGTCTTCATCATCTAGATAATCATTCCAATTAACATTTTGTGTTTGCTGAAACACTTAATAATTTCAAAATTTGTTGCAGTTTTTTTGATCATTATCACCAGTAGATCACTGTTAAATAAGAATGTTGTGCAATGGGAAATAACTTTATGGATACTTGCTAGGTATCTATTCAAATCTCTCAATATATTCTGCTTAAGAAGTAGAATGATTTCTTTTGAAAATTTTAAATACAGACAACTAACTGTGTTTCTCTGAGGTGGATCTGGGGTATATATTTAAATATTTTTGTGTTACACAGTTATCTGATTATCTGTAGGATAAGATAATCACCTTCCCTCTTGTAGAATTGTGAAAAAAGTCTCAAATAGAATTTATCTGTGTATTCTCTTGTTTCACATGCCTGGGGTGGTTTGTCAAAATTATCCTTCTTAATGAAGAATTAGAAAGAAGAACTCACACCATAATTTTTATTTTCTTTATTCATTATTTTTCTAAATTAAAAAAATGACTCAATATCACTTACCTGTGCCTTTCAACTTTTTGGAGTTATTTTGGAGCACTAATCACATCACCTTGTACCACCTTTCCATGTGCAAAAGGAAGAAAAAAGTCTACACATTCAAAAACAAACCAAAACATTACCTTGAGCTATGTAAGGTGTTGTTTCCTCCTTCTGAGGTACATTTGTGGGTCGAGGTGTAGGGGCAGGAGGTCTGTTTATAATGAAGGACCGACTTCCGGTTTTCTTCTTTACACTCATATTGGCCAGGATCTGGTCATATTCATTGTCATCAATCTCAGCAAAAGTGTAAGGGTCTTCCTCCTCCTGTTTATTTTCATCTTCTTTCTTTTCTTCTTCTACTTTGGGTTCATCTCTCTTTTCTTGTCTGGCACTAGAATAACTCCAGTTTTGACTCCTTTCTACTTGTCCTTCCGCGGTTCTCCCTGCTTATGAAATATTTAGACTGTGTTTATGCTTCTATTCTATGCAATGTTATTGGTGTCCATCCGACACAATTGGGTTTCCCAAAGTAGCTTAATCAAATGCCATAGGAAACAATATAAAGGAAGAGGTCCTGTTTCTAGAAAAATAATCATAAATAAATTCCAAAAGAAAAACGAACAGTGTAATTTGTGAACAGAACTTTCTGCAGTTTGTAGTTGCTAATTTTATTAAGAAAACCACTTGGTTTAAGCAATGAATTTTTTGAAAACATAACTTTTTACCGCCTTCTTTCTCCACCAGCCATACACTTTCGTGATTCTTGCACTGAATATTTTGCCTAGAGTTCATTTTGTCTGGAAATGATGGGAGAAAATAGCCAAAGATATCACTACTCTATATCCTCCTGGTTGGTTTCTGGCTATGACAAAACTGACCTTCAAAAATGCAAGTCTAGATTTTTATAAGCCATTTAGATAAAGGACTCTGAAAATAGCATTCAGGATACAAAAAACAGCTTCGACAACCAATGGCTGGAGTATTAATTCATATGAAAAGAATAAAAGTAGACATGTCAGAATCCTGTGGCTCCATATTCAGTAAAATCTACACATACTTTTATAGGAATATGCTAGAATATTTTAGTAGCTCTTATTTAGAAGACAGATACATGAAATACTTTGGTGAATAAGTTGAAAAGAATTTGAATGTTATGGCTCTCTATCAGGTCAATGAGAGGTTTGTTTTTTTTTGTTTTTTGGCTTTTTTAACCCCCATTTTTTAAAAAAAAAACATTGCCACATTGCCTTTGGAGGATGAGAATCGGATAATAATGTTAGGAAAACTAGGGATATCAGGAACATACCTCAACATTGTAAAGGTTATCTATGCTAAGCCCCAGGCCAACATCATTTGAAATGGAGAAAAATTGAAAGCATTCCCTCTAAAAACTGGAACAAGACAGGAATGCCCTCTTTCACAACTTCTATTTAATATAGTTCTCAAAACTCTAGCCAGATCAATAAGACCAGATGAAAGAAATTAAAGGTATATGGATAGGAAAAGAAGAACTCAAATTATCAATATTTGCAGATGATATGATTCAATACCTAGAAGACCCAAAACATTACACCAGAAATCTCCTAAAACTAATAAATGAGTTCAGCAAAGTAGCTGGATATAAAATCAACAGCCATAAATAAATCAAAGGCATTTCTGTATATCAGTGACAAATCCTCTGAAAGAGAAACTAGGAAAACTACCCCATTTACAATAGCCTCAAAAACAAAAAACAAAAACAAAAATAAAGAAACAAAAAACCTTGGGAATAAACTTAACAAAAGAAGTGAAAGACCTCTACAATGAAAACTACAGCATACAAAAGAAGGAAATTGAAGAAGACCTTAGAAGATGAAAAGATCTACCTTGTTCTTGGATAGGCAGAATTAATATCGTCAAAATGACCATACTACCAAAAGCACTATACAGATTCTTGCAACCCCAATCAAAATCCCAATGACATTCCTCATAGAAATAGAAAAAGCAACCATTAAATTCATCTGGAAAAATAAGAGACCCAGAATAGCCAAAGCAATCCTTAGCAAGAAGAGTGAAACTGGTGGCATTACTATTCCACACTTAAACTATGCTCGCTCCAGAGCAATAGTAACAAAAACAGCATGGTATTGGCACCAAAATAGAACTGTAGATCAATGTTACTGAATGGAGGACACAGAGACTAACCCAAATAACTACCATTACCTTATATTAGGCAAAGTTGACAAAAACATGAATTGGAGAAAAGATAGCCTGTTCAACAAATGGTGCTGGGAAAACTGGAAATCCACATGTAACAAAATTAAATTAACTTCTATCTCTCACCATGCACAAAACTCAACTCAAAGTGGATCAAGGATCTAGGATTAAACTAGATACCTTGGGCCTAATGTAAGAAAAAGTAGACCCAAATCTCCATATGTTGTTTCCTTAATAAGACTCCTGTAGTGCAAGAATTAAAACCAAGAATCAATAAATGGGATGGATTCAAACTAAAACCCTTCTCAACAAAAGAAATAATCAGAGAGCCTACAGAATGGGAGCAGATCTTTATCCCAAGCACATCAGATAGAGCACTATCTCTAGGATATACCAAACACTCAAAAACCTTAACACCAAAAAACTAAATAACCAAATCAATAAACGGGCCAAGGAATTGAACTGACACTTCTCAGAAGAGGATATACAATCAATCAACAAACATATGAAAAAATGGTCAACATTTCTAGCAATTACAGAAATCAAATCAAAACTACTCTAAGATTTCATCTCACTACAGTCAGAATGGCAGCTATTATGAAGACAAAGTGTTGGCAAGAATGTGGGGGGAAAGGTACACTCATACATTGCTGGTGGGACTGCAAATTGGTGCAGCCAATATGGAAAGCAGTATGTAGATTCCTTGGAAATCTGGGAATGGAACCTCCATTTGACCCAGCTATCCCTCTCCTGAGACTATACCTAAAGGATTTTAAAACAGCATACTACAAGGACACAGCCACATCAATGTTTATAGCAGCACAATTCATAATAGCTGAAGGGCTAAAATGCCCTTCAGTGGATGAACGGATAAAAAAATGTGGTATATATACACAATGGAATTTTACTCAGCAATAAAAGAGAATAAATTCATCACATTTGCAGGTAAATGGATGGAGTAGGAGAATATAATGCTAAGTGAATTAAGCCAATCCCCAAAAACCAAAGGTCAAATGTTTTTTTTGACATGAGGATGCTGACTCATAATGGTGATGGGGGGGTGGAGCATGGGAGGAATGGAGGAACTTTAGATAGGGAAAAGGGGAGGGAGGGAAAGGGAAGGGCTTAGGGGGTAGAAATGATGGTGAAATGAGTTAGACATCATTACCCTAAGTACATGTATGAAGACACAAATGGTGTAAAATACTTTGTGTACAATCAGTGACTTGAACAATGGTGCTCTATATATGTAATATGAAATGAATTGCATTCTGCCATCATGTATAACAAATTAGAATAAATATATAATTTAATAAAAATATTTTTAAAAAATGATAATAAAGTAGTTTATTACTTATGGGCATTTTAGTGGAAAAACAGAATCTAAGAGGAAACACCAATAGCACAGAAGAAAAGACAATTGTTTTGGGTAGGTTTTTGTGGAGTGGCCAAGTTCATCTCACATAGGAGTCTTAAATGTCACTGCTCCCCTTAGTTTAATCCAAGAAATACTAATTACCTATAAGCTTCACACTGAATTTAAAATCACTGTGACTTGCCTTTTCCTCTGTGAATAATACGGTTTAACTTCATGAGTTCTGTTTTATTGACAGCATCACAGGTGAACGCTGATGAAGTGTGTGGGAAACACTTTTACAGTGCTTCATTTTTAGCAAAATGTGTCAGCCATCTTACTTTTATGAACCGATTTCCTGAGCTGTTAACTTTTTTTGTTTCCCCACCCACCACTCTTCCTAACTTTTTAAAGTTAGGTTTGCACTAGAAAGAATGCATTTTACTTTTTATTTTCCCAAGTATCAGATTATACTTCTTGTTAAAGAGTGGATCATGTTCCACTCAATTCAGGTTATGCACTAACAAATAACTATTGAAATGTGTCACTTCCGTAATTCCAACTTTTGAAATACTTGGAGTAAGAAGAATAAAAGAGAAGAAAATAGAAGAACCTTAGAAGTACAATAAACCTCTTCATGTAAGTATTTGATATATTCTAATCATAGGCTCTATGGTGTTACATCTGAGTCAAAGAGGGATCATTCTGATAGTTACATTCTGGAATTATTGTGAAGATAAAGATCATATGCTCCTTATAAAGTGAAAAGGGATCCATAATGTTACATTTTAAGTTTCTCAAAACAAATATGTCCACAAATCCATAGTGAAGAATTTCAGTCCTTGGCTATAGATGAACTGGTCTCTCTTTTTACAATAACTGAAGGCAGATGAAATTTACACCTAAGCAATTCCTGAAGTTATCACTAGCTAAAGTGAAAGAACTTTGTGCATCTCTGTCTCTGGCAAAAATTAAGTGGAAATTTGCAGGCTTACTTGTAAAAGAGCTAAATTAAGGAATTTTAAGAAAAAAATTGGCTTTTATTTTCCATTTTCTTCCAATATCAACCCTATTAAAAGAGAAGTTGAAAAACATCACCACACATAAAATGTAAAAATAGGGTTTTTAAATAAAAGCAGCAAGTCTTTGTTTTATTTTACATTTTATATTTGGTAGTTTTCAAGAGTTAAATTAGCCAAGATTACTTTTCTAGTCTAGGTATCTGGTAAACACTGGAGTAGAGTAATTTTATACCTCCTATCCAACATATTATATATAGAAATTTACATTAGGGAAAATATAATTTAATATTAACTCCTGCAAGAGATTTGACCTGACACAAGAAAATCTTGTCTTCTAAAGAATAGAGTTTAATAATTACATCAAATTATTCAAATACCCAAAGTGAGAAAAACATGCCAGGATTTGGTTATCAGTGAGTTAACCACCTATGTTTCCTTGCCCTACCGATTTTCATAATCTACTTCATTGATATAGGTCAATGAAGGGTCTTCAAGGGCTTGGCACACAGTAGGTAAGCAATAAATGCCTGCTTATGAGTGACTGATTCAGAGGAGCTCCCATTAGGCTTTGGTACTTTCCACTGAGCAAAATTTTGCATCTATATATGCAGTGCTTGACCTTAGGATGGCTTATGTTGACAAAATAGAGCTTTGCAGGCAGGGCCTTCAAGGACACTAATGCTAAATTTCTTGGCTTCAAAATTCTCCTTTTTGAAATAATGTTAATGTACTTAAGAGCTTTCTAGGACACGACAACTAAAGGGTAGTGACAAATATATTATCTTAATGGGAATTTTTAAATCTTTGCTATTAAATTTGCTTTGTAATAATGCTTTGTGAATTTGGAAAGCAAATATAAAATCATGTTTGATTTTAGTGGGATATCATTAGTGACTAAAGGAGAGAACCTGGAGGTGGAAGTTTTTCAGGTTGTTGAACACTGGAGTAGAAAAGCCCAATGTGGAAACTCCTCTTCATGCTCACTATAAGGTTTGTCCTCCACAGTATACTCCACACCCCCGCCTTACACACCCCAATTTTACCTCTGGGAACAAGTGGCGTGACAGCCATGGTGGCTGTTCTACTTTGGAGATATATAGATTATATAAATCTCGTATTCTTAGACTTCAGTCTCAATGCATTGTGCAATAAACTCCTTACCACTTCATTCTTCCACAGCTACAAAGTGAGTGATGCCTAAGATCATTTGCAAGTCATCTGTAAATCATCTGTAAAGCATTAGCCTTCCCCTCTTGCCAGAATACTAAGAGTGTTTTTTAAAAGCAATGTTGTCATTTGCTTTTCCACAGGATACTTGAGGTTCATTTTATGTGCTGAACTACAGATTCCTTCCAAGTTTTATTACTTTGCTTTCTTAAAGCTTTGTAATAAGATTTTTTTTGTTCCAGAAAAAAGAAAGGATGGAAGGCGGGGGAGGGAAGAGAATAAAGGGAGAAAGAGGAAGGAAGGGAGAAAGGGTGGTGGCAGGTATCTCTTGCTTCACTGCATGGGCCCTACTTGTTAAAGAACTGGAAGAAAAGCTTCCAAAGGTTTCAAAAGATGATCTTCTCTGTATGGATTTACCACTGCACTCATGCTATATACGCCTGTAAGAGCATTTCTTTTCTTTGAACTTTAAACTTACTTTGCAATGTGAAGTGAGGTTTTTCCAGTTGGAAGGCAGCAGACACAGGTCTTGGTGGGGGAAGAGGTGGTCTGCAGCACACGAGTGGCTCTTGTGAATGACTTTCTGGGTCATTTCCGGGAATGAACACATACAAGTCATCATACTGGTCCTCAGGACTTGCACTGCCAGCCTCTGAGGGGCTGTGCCTCTCCTGGGCCCCTGATTCAGGCTCCTCTTCCTCCCTGGTCCCTTCAGTTGCCTCGGCACCATCTGTACTCTGCCTGTAGGTCTTCCAGCTTTCATGATGCAATGCTGGGTACTGCGTGGCTATTTATGAGAAGAAAGATTGTATAATTTTATTTAAATGGACCATCTGGAGGCATTTCATATTTTGTAAATTTGTAGAGAAGTAGTAGTATTGCTAATAAAACTTTCATGGCCTGATATAGTGGAAAGCCATCAACTGCATAACTTTTACTGAATTGTCATTTCTGGGATTTAAAAGCATTTACTCAAAGAAGAGTCAAAGCTCCATTAAATCTTGTTACAACAATACCTGACACACTCCTGTATATAATGACATTCTGATTCTTAGAGTTATTGTTGAGTAGATTCATGTATTTAATAGTATTATGAATTTTTATTAGAAAACAACATAATTGACCAAGTGAAATAAGTAAAAAGAGAGGGAAAGTTATAGAACAAGGAAAGGAAATAAAGGTTGACTTGCTTGTAAATAATGAATACAAATGAATTTATGGCATTTATTTATTATTTTAATACATTTATTATATATTAATTTTTATTATAAACATATAATGACTGGGGCTGGGATTGTGGCTCAGTGGTAGAGTGCTAGCACGTGTGAGGCCCTGGGTTCGATCCTCAGCACCACATAAAAATAAAGATATTGTGTCCAACTACAACTAAAAAATAAATATTTAAAAAAAACATATAATGACTTTTATAATTTATTATACATGCTATATTGATTTGTGAAAATATTGCTGAGGAAAACGTTCACATTTTTTGATGGAGAAGACATCCAAATCACTCACAGTGGGTACATCTTTCTGAGGCTTGGTTTGCTTACCTATAAAATGCATTTTATCTTGAAATTTAACCCAATAATCAGGTTTGATTCCCTTCACTCCAGGAACCATGCCATCATTTGTCTGTTTATGATGCATAATAAATGCTCTTAACCACTCAGGAAGAACACAGAAAAATGTTACAATGTAATAACATTAAAATACTTTTATTAAATTTTCTTTTTAAAACAATCTCTACAGAAAAGATTCAAAAAAAAATTTAGGATAGACTTTTGGAACTTCCAAATAACTTTGGAATCTTCATAACAGATTTTGAACATTTGAGTTGTCATTCTTCTCAATGTAATCAATTGTTTCAAAGGATTGCTGAACTTAAATATAACTAAAAAAGTCAGATAGCATAATTTAGCAAATAAAAACCTTTATTTTTAAATAAAGAGTAACACTGTATAAATTCTTTCAGCTTAGTAAGGAAAAATCATATCCATGATGTTACCCCCTATTACTACATGTATTCTCATTTTTCTTTTATTTTATGTGAGAAAGAAGAAAATATAGCTTCCAGTATTAGAACTGAATCAAGATCCTAGTTCAGAGCAGAGGGAGACATTTTCAAATGATCTACCCGTACAGAAATCATTCATCTTTCTACTCCTAACACAAAAACACCAGCCTGAAATAAAGTAGTCCTTGGAAATGTTGATGGAATCGATGATAAAATGACTGGAAAAATTATTGCTCAGGCCAGCAAACATACTTCACTCTTTCTGTAGGTGCAAATCAGTCATCAACTTAGAATTACATTCACGCTGCAGCAAATGACTCGGAGCCTCAGTTTTGTTTGTGTATTCAGTGTTTCTTGACACTGACTAAGTAATAGAGCTTCCCTTGTGCTTGTCAAATATGCCCAAACCTGGACTTCAGCCCTGGAGAGCTGGATTTAGTGCACCCGTGGGTTTTGGCATGCTCCAGAGCAATGGTGGTGCCAATGGAAATCTGCTGACTCATACAGTTTCATATATGAGAGAGTTTCTGGTTCCAAACTGTCTCTTTAGAACTGAAATAATGTTTTCTTATTCTAGGCTGTTCTGAGGATTCAGTAGTATGATAAATATATGATCCGTATCAATGTTGGTCTTTATCATAACCTTTGCTATCATAAAAATGATAAAATATATAACCTTCAAACTTGGTGCATTAACTTCTTAGCTTAATTAACATTTGTGTATTTGTATTCTGCAATCAAAAAATGTTTGAAGGAGTTTACTGACTTTGCCAAAATAATGCTAAGTGCAATACAAAAAAAAAAATAGCAGGTACAGAGAAATAAAGAGTAAAGGAAGAAGACAGGAGTAATGATTTGAAGGAAGAAGTGATGAAGTGAGTTAAGGGGACACACAGAAGAAGAGTAGGTAGTGGGGGCAGATATTGCAAATGCCCGTAGGTAGAAGTAGCAAGCTTGATGTGCGAGATGTCACTGGCCATGAGCCAGTAAGACAGTGACCAGAGAGAGTTTTAAAAGATTATCTAGGACCCTGTAGGTGATAAGAAGGATTATAGGTAAAATGGGAAGGTTTTGGATGATTTGGGACAGAAGCGTGATTAGTTCCTTCATGAAGCCTAAAGCGTGAGAGGTGAAAAATAGGGAAACTGCTTCAGGGTTTCTTGATAGCGGCACATTATTGACATGTTGGACTGATGTGAGGGGCTGTCTGGTACACTGTAGGATATTTAGAGCATTCCTGATATCTCTACCCACTGAATGCCAGTAGCAACCCTTCATTTCCAAGTCATGGCAATCAGAAAAATCTCCATTCATTGTCAAGTTGGCAATGTAGGGGACAGTCAATACCCCTCCACTGGGAATCACTGTACCATCTGGGGAAGAACTACTGACAGTGTGAACTAGGACGAAGGGCAATGAGAAGGGTGAGAAAAGATTCAGTGTGGGCAATATTTTGAAAGTGGAGTCAATAAGATTATACAGTAGACTGCATACAGGGTAAGAGAGAAAGTAGAAAAGCAAAGGTGACTTCAAGGATGTTGACGTAGCTTGAACAATGGAAACATGGCATTTCCATTTGCTGAGATGCGGAAATCAGCACATGTAGACACTTAGAAGTGATAGAAATCAGGGTTTTCGGAAGTTAGGATGTAGATGCTGATAAGAAATGCTGATGAAGATGTTGAACAAATCATTGTGTGTTAATGACACAGGCCTAAAATGCAGGAACATTTTGAATCTGTCTTCAGACATTAGAACCTAGAACTTCATGTTGTTACTTCAGAGAGGACCTTAGAGAGTGTCCCGGTCCAAACTTCTCATTTCATAGCTGAGAAAAATAAGAACTGCAAAAAAACGTGATTATGTTTGGAGAACAACAAACACTTGAAAAAACACAGTTGTCAAATAGAAAAAAAAATGTATACCAGTATAACTTGTGTATTTCTCCTGGATAGGAAACCTAATATGTGATTATTAGAACTTGACCTTCTTAAATGTATCTACACTAGCAAATGTAGTGGCATTTCTACCATATTATAAAGTAAAAGTCATTCTGTTAATTAAATACCTTTCTTGAATTCTCTTCAGTCATATATTTCCAGCATATGTACTATAATATAAAAGTTACATATATGCATAACATGTAAGAAAACTTACAGGGAGAATATGCAGAAAATGAGAAAATATCTTCTTCATAGTCATTTTCTTGATCATTATTTCTGCTCATTTCTTGGATCTGAACAAAAAAGAATGTAAATTTAATAATGTGCATTAATCTTAGTCTTCATTTGGCACCTGGTGAGACAAGAAATAGTTTTTAGATTTTTATTAAATGACTTAACTCTATTACACTATAAATATTGGTCTGGTCTCTGTTTAGACTGTGAAGAAGTCATAGAGTCTACAATTATGGAGCACACAAGTGCTCAATAACACAGGGCACAGAAAGTCAAGTGAGAAAATAGAACATTTATACCAAACAATAAGTTCAGTTAAAAGTGAAACTTATTGCAACTATTTTAAGACTTTAAGAAAGCAATAATCATGACATTTAGGTGCAATAAAAACATTCTGAATGAAATTTAACACAAGTATTTCTCTTAAAGATTTCTTCCAATTTCTTCCTTTTAACATTTCTGTATCATTTACCAATTGAAAAGGTGTTCTTTCCCCTTTCTTCCTTCCTACTTTTCTTTTCTTTCAGTGGTACTGTGGATTGAACATTTAACACAGGGGTACTTTACCACTGAATTACATCCCCAGCCGCTTTTTATTTTTTATTTTTAGACAGGGTCTCACTAAGTTGCCTAGATTGACCTCAACTTTACAATCCTCCTATCTCAGCCTTGCCAGTCGATGGGATTACAGGTATGTGCCACCATGCTCAACATAAAATGATATCTTAATTTCATTAAACATTTCAATACAGTAAAAGAATGATATTTTTTTATAAAGGTGTTTTTTTATTCATCTTTATTTTTTAAATTTTTAGTGCATTATTGTTATACAGAATGGGGTTTGTTTTGACACATTCATAAATGCATACAGCATAGTTTTCTCCATTTTAATCCCAAGTACTACCTGCTTTCATTTCCTTCTCCCTCCCCTCAAACCTTTTATTCTTCACCCTAAAAAAAAAAAAAAAAACAAACAAGCGTATTTCTGTTTGTCTTTTGAAATCAGTTCTGCTATATTTTATCCATTTACTTATTTAGTGGTTTTGAGGATTGACTCAGGGCCTCCTGTATGTTAAACTTGTTTTCTAATGCTGAGTAGTGCCTCCCGCTGTGGTTCCACTATACTTAGAGGGCAGAATTAATTGAACAACAGCAGATGAGGTAGAGAGGGATGATGGGTGTGGAGGGGAGGGGGGATAGTAGGGGATAGGAAAGGTAGCAGAATACAACAGTCACTAATATGCTATTATGTAAAAATGTGAATGTGTAACTGATGTGATTCTGCAATTTGTATTTGGGGTAAAAATGGGAGTTCATAAACCCAATTGAGTCAAATGTATGAAAGATGATATATCATGAACTTTATTGAACAACCAATTAAAAAAAATATATATATATATATATAAGAAAAAACAGAAACCTATTAGCTCTGGAATTGCTAGTCTTTCTTTACAATGTCTTAAGGAGTCATAGTCTATAGTTATGGATCATAGAGGTGCTCACAGAGAAGGCTAAGTAATGCCAATGAAAACTTTATTTATGCAAAAAGATCTAAGAAAGGGATGGAATCTGGCTGCATTTAACATGGGTCGCTTTTGTTACATGAACTCTATGTGATTATTATCATGTTTTTATTCAGAATCCAATTGATGAAAAAGATTAGGCCATTTTCTTTACATTAAAAAGTATTCAAATCAATGCATTTATAAATTTATAATAGCCTTGGTATGCAAAGGTATAATAACTGAATACTGACTTCATTAATTTATTATTCACTTTGGCTCATGTGAGTCCAATAGAATTTATTCATTTTGTTTTGTTTTTGTTTTTAAAAATCTAATGCAATTCAGAGAAACAGCACAGTTCCTAATTTCTTGTGCATTCTTAAAATTCCCTAGGTATTTTTTATTTTTTTTACTGAGTCTGATGCATCATTTTGTATGTCAATCATCCTTTCCCCCTTGTTTTAAAAATATTTACACTAAATATTTCTTTCTTAAGTTCCTTATACTTTTAATCATATACAAAAAACATCCTAGATCTAGTGGTGCATTAACAATTTCAGTAAAACTAATGATGGCTTCAGAGACATGTCTCATAGCAATCTGATATCTGACCACTTTCTAGTTGATTGTGTGGCATAGCGGAGAAAGTATGGACTATGAAGTCAATTAAATCACAAATCACATCACAACTTTATAATTTATTAACAGTGTGATATTGGGCAATATCTTTAACTCTAAACCTCAATATTCTGTCTTATAAAATGTGGTTAGTAACATCTATGCCCTCAGACTATTGGTACTATTAAATTACAATAGCGTAAACAAAACACAGATCTCACCTATCACATAGTAAGTGCTTTTTTCTTGGGCTAAAGTCTGACTTTTTAAATTTATTTGTCAAGCGTTTAAGGCAGCCTACTATATGCTAAATACTCTCTTCTTATAAGTAAGTTAAAAACATTAAATAGGAGATGTAATTCCCAGTGTCAAAAATATCATATATTTATTGGGAGGAAAGAGAAATAATAAAATTATTAGAACATAATATTTTACATATTTTATTACAACACACTTCTTACAGGCATAATAGAGAATTAAAAAGTAGTCAAACAAATATGGTAAAAGTTGTATTCATTTTCTTTTTGGAGAAGTTGGTTTAAAAATTACCTTGACTCTTGCATTAATTCCCACTTCTTTAGATGAAAGATCAAGTATAAGTGACAAAATCTATTAGCTAAACATATTTAATGTAGTAGTTCAGCCCACAGCCTCTCCAGCACATATTTAATGAATTTAAATATTCATTTATTATCAAAGATAAACTAGAAAGAGAACTTCTTTTCTGACTGGGGTATATATGTAAAGCTCCACATGGCTATGGCATCTGGTCCTGTACAAATTGATCACAATATTCTGATTTTTAGGGGATGAATAATAACAATCTTCACAAGGCAGTTGATTTTCAAAGTAGTTTATGAGACTCTGAAGATACTGTAATTGGCCAACTTGTCCAATTCTCCATGGTTTTGATTATAAATGATTTTTTTTCAGTGTTTAAGGCACATATAGCCTGTGGAACGAGTATAAAAAGACAAATATGTGTTTAAAGAAGAACAAAATGATCCTGTGATAGTTTTATTCACAATGAATGCACTAGGCTGGAGAATCTGAGCTAATACTGTAATGAAAAAATAAGGATTATTCTTACTGAATGGTAAGAATAATGACCAATGTGATGTAAAGCCTTGATAATAGCAAACATGGAGTCGCAAACATAAAATCTTAAGGGTGCAGAGTAGGAGTGTAAAATTTTAGCTCAGAATAAGCCTTTGAATGATTTTCCTTGAACCATATAGGAATATGGTCTAAACCAGATGCAGAACTTCCCAAGAATCTTTCATTTGATATTGCAGGAAATAGAAAGTTGGAAAAAAGCTAAATAGGAACCCTTTCCACGATTGGGAGAGGAATGAAGAATAATTAAATAGATTCCAAGCTCCTAAATTCAGGGGTAAAAAGTGGACATTTTCCTTAGTATGGGTGAAAATTTCATTAGAATAACCTGAGCATGTAGGTTCTGTTTTCCAGAGAGAATATTATCATAGAAAATTAAAGTGATACTTTGACCAGGTGAACAAAGTTCCATTCTGCACAATGAGAAGCTTTATTTTCTTTTTTTAAAAAATTTTTAGTTATACTTAATTTTCGGGTGCAATGTGATATTTTAATACCTGCATACAGTGTGCACTGATCAAGTTGGGGTGATGAACAAATCCATCTCCTGTCACAGACCCAGGCCCATTTTGCCCTCTGTAGCAGCCACAGACAGACAAGAACTTTTGCTGAAGACAAAGACTTCATTCACAAGGTGGCTGAATGGTGGTCTGGGAGAACCACCAGGTGGCAAGGGTGGGAAACTTAATTTCCTAATTGGGACCAACAAGGACAATTTAGTGAAGTGGGAGGAGTGGTGCTAAGAGGACAGGTGATGGCTTCATTCCCTCATTTGAATACAGGGAGAAAGAAACAGAGGCAAACTGAGCCCTGATCCCTCCCATTCTGGCCAATGGAACTGAACCAGTTTAGCAGATTTGAGGGTGGGTCTTGGGGTGGCAATCTCTGACTCTGATATGTACTCACTTAATACTCACCTCTCCCTGTGTGGCCACCTCCAGCATACCCACTGCAGTGTGGACCCATGGACAGCTCTTGGCCTTATTCTGTGCCTAAGATGCAGTCCCAACTACAGTCGTTAACTTCAGGGGCTTGGGTACATCCCTTTAAAACCACATATGTATATATTATATATAAATTATTAATTCTTCAAGTGCGGCTGCCACCTATACTGCTACTGCCAATGGCACTGTGGCTCACACTTTTAAGTAATTTTTAAAAATAATTTTTAATTATCATTTAAAAAAATTGCCATAGCTTTGACTATATCTGTGAGGTACCAGCAAGTTTTCTGGGCTACACATGTGGTTTGACTTCACCCATTTCTGTCACTAAAATGGAAATGTTAAAATCTATTTCTTTGATAGGGTTGTAATTGTTAATGTGAAAAAATAGCTGACTGCATTTAAAATGAGGATGTGGAGAAAAAGGTACACTCACACATTGCTGGTGGGGCTGAAATTTGTGCAATTACTCTGGAAAGCAGTATGGAGAGTACTCAGAAAACTAGAAATGGAACCATCATTTGACCCAATTATAGCATCCTCAGTATACACCCAAAGGACTTAAAATCAGTATATTACGGTGGGGTAGCCACATTAATGTTTATAATAGCTCAATTCATAATAGTTAAGCTATGGAATCAACCTCAGTGCCCCTCAATGGTGAATGGATAAAGAAAATTTGTTATATATACACATTGAAATATTACTCAGCCATAAAAAAGAATGACTTTATGACTTTTTCCAGTAAATGAATGGATCTGGAGACTATTATGTTAAAATAAATAAGCCAATCCCCAAAAACCAAAGGTCAAATGTTCTCTCGGCTACATGGATGCTAACACACAACAAGGGTTGGGAAGGGAAGAATAGAAGTTC